TTCCTTCCTTCCTTCCTTCCTTCCTTCCTTCCTTCCTTCCTTCCTTCCTTCCTTCCTTCCTTCCTTCCTTCTTTCCTCCCTCCCTCCCCTTTTTCTCCTAAAAGCAACAGGGCAGCAGCAGCAAGCATCTGGGTTTGCTGCTGTGCTGTAGACATCAGGGAGCTGAGGAGTCCTTGTTTTCTTACTCTGGCTCTTGATTAGAGAAAACACAGATAAATGAAGGCAGATCAGAGTGTCTCAACTCCCTATTTTCATGCAAATAACTACTGGCATCATTTTGGAGGAGACAGCCAGGGAAGGAGGGGGTCATTCATTTGTTGTGAGATTCTGATTGAAATCTAACTCCTTTGAGGTATGTCTGCAAATGCAAAAGGCACCCAAGAGGGTTAGTTTTACACTGGCAAGCAAATTCTGGCTGTTGCAGCTGGTATTAAAGGATCTGGGGGATATCTGCTTCAGCACCATGTGAGCGGCCATACTGCCTGCACCTAGCAGCGGACAAGGCATGTGTTCTTCTTCTCACTTGCCTGGAGCAACAAAGACATTGTAGAGGGTCAAGGAAAAGCCATGCATGCTTTGAGTGGCTATTTTTCTCAAAGGCTCCGGAGTAGATGCTTGTGCTGCAGCACCTTGTCTAGAGCGGAACAAGACTGGTGAAAAAACGCCGAGGAAGAACCTGGGGAGAGCGAGAGGCAGCCCCAGCACCAACCCGCTGTGAGGAGGCCAGCCCCCGGGCCRTAGGCGGCTCTGACTCAGGCAGGGCAGGGACAGCAGGGAATGTGGGGAATTTAAAAGCCGCCCCAAGGGTGCATGAAWGAGTGGTGTAGTGTCCTTAATGCAGGGAGCATTCTCCTGGCTCAGGAAGAGAGCTCTCTGAAGGGAAGGATCTCTTCCCTGGGTGAGAAATTAGGTGACGCCATGGTCTCTATGGAAACATGTGACAGTCCAGGTCTCCAGCTGTGAGGAGTGTCTGAGCCTCTCCATGCTATCAGGGAGCAATGAAAACACCACCTGTATGAGGTATGAGAAGGTGGAAGACATACCTAGCCTGGTGGTGGAGCTGAAGCACGAGGTGGAAAGGTTGAGGGCAATCYGAGAATGGGAGCCCTGTGGCCTTTCATGCAGACCCCATGGGCCTAAGAGCGCATGTGGCCCCAGGGGCCCTGTGGCCTTTCGTGGGTACTCCCCAGACCTCCATCCGCATGTGGTCTGGGGAGCATCCAGGCTTTCATGTGGCCTGCCAGGGCCTCCACGTGCACGTGGCCCCAGAGATCCTCTGGGCTTTTGTGTAGCCTCCCCAGGTCTCTGTGTGCACGTGGCCCCAGAGATGTTCTGGGCATTCGTGTAGCCTCCCTGGGTCTCTGTGTGCATATGGCCCCGGACATGCTCTGGGCTTTCGCGCAGCCTTCCTTGGCCCTCTGCACGCCCGAGGCCCCGGGACCCTAGCAGGTGCTCACACAGCCTCCCCGGCTCTCCACGTGCTGGGGCGCTGGGGGCCTGGTGGCCTCTCATGTGGCCCGCCCCAGCCCTCAAGGCGCCAGGGGCCCAGTGGGTGCTCGCGCGGCCTCCCCGGCCCTCCGCGCACCTAGGGCACTGGGTGTCCTGTGCGCGCTCGCRGGACCTCCCTGGTTCTCCGCATGCCTGGCTCGCTGAGCACCCAGCAGGTGCTTGCATGTCCTCCCCAGCCTTCCACACACCGGGGGCCCCAGGGACCCAGTGGGTTCTCGCGCAGCCTCCCTGAACCTCTGCACACCAGAGGCCCTGGAGGCCCAGTGGGCCCTTGTGTGGCCCTTGTGCAGGGATCTGCCGTCTTTGGTGCGGCCTCCCTGGCCCTCTGTGCACACGTGGTCCCACAGAGTTTGTGGGCTTTTGTGTGGCCTCCCTGGGTCTTTGTGTGCAGGTGTCCCCTGAAGACCTCCGACATTTCGTGCGACCTCCCCAGGCCTTTGTGTGCAGGTGGCTCTGTAGGCCTGCAAGCTTTCGTGTGGCCTCCCCAGGCCTCCATGCGCACATGGCCCCAGGGGACCTGCAGGCTTTCGTGCAGCCTCAAAGGGCCCCCATGCACACGTGGCCCCAAGGGSCCTGCGAATTTTCGTGCGGCCTCCCCAGACCTCCATCCAAATCTTGCCTCAGGGGCCCTGCAGTATTCCATGTGGCCTCCATGGGACTCGGTACACACATGGCCCCGGTGACCCTGCAGGCTTTCGTGCAGCCTCTCCAGGCCTCCGTGCACACTTGGCCCTGAGGTCCCTGTGGCCTTTTGTGCAGCCTCCTCAGTCCTCTGTGCGCAYGCGTTTTGAGGCCCTCCGGATATTCATGCGCCTCTCTGGGCCTCCACGAGCACATGGCCCCGGGAACTCTCCATAATTTCATGTGGCMTCCCCTAGCCTCTGTGTGTATGTGACTCCAGAGGTCCTGCGGGCTTCTGTGGGGACTCCTGTAGCCATCATGCTCATGTATCCCCAAGGGCATTGCGGGATCTTGTGTGGTCTCACCAGGCCTCTGTGCACACATGGCCCTGGGGACACTGTGGGCTTTTCTGGGGATTCCTGGGGCCTGCATGTGCATGTGTATAGGGAATCGGCCGGGGTTACAAGAATCACACTCAATAWGAGTTTATCATCTTGCCCCCTTTATTACAGATTCTAGCAYATTTTTATACAGTAAGCCGCGCTCCCGACCAATCATGATTTTACATGTTCTCCTTTCATCACTATCTTGTCACTTGTCTCCAGAGCTGGCATCCAATCATTGATCAACTCACAGTTTCATTTCTGCTTCAGAGTCCCATTTCTGGATTTCTTCGTCATGACCTAGTTCAGTCTGGCTACTTCAGCGGTTTACTGTATCCACTTGTTCTGCATCAGCAGTTTACTGCCATTTTGTCCTTCATCAGCAGTTTACTGCATACACTTGCTCGTTAAGGATCCCAACACACGTGTCCCCAGGGGCCCTGTCAGCTTTTGTGCAGCCTCCCCAGGCCTCCGTGCACACGTGGTCCAGGGGCCCTGCAGWCTTTCGTGCAGTCTCCCTGGGCCTCTGTGTGCACATGGCCCCAAGAGTCCTGTGGGCTTTTRTGCCTGCTCCCCTGGCCTCTGTATGCATTTGGCTCGGAGGTGCCCTGCGGGCTTTCGTACAGCCTCCCCGCACCTTCATGTGAACGGGGCCTTGTGGACCATTTGGGATTTGTGCGGCCCTCCCAGGCCGCACACAGTGTCTCTGTGCACACAGTGGTCCGGGGAGGGCTCATGAAAGGCCACTGGGCTCCTGGGGCCACATGTGCACGTAGCCCCGGGGGCCCTGCATATTCCATGCGACTTCCCCAGGCCTCGATGCGCACGTGGCCCTGGGTGCTCTGTGGGCTTTTGTATGGCCTCCCTGGGCATCTGTATGCACATGGTACTGGGGGTCCTGTGGACTCTTGTGCCTWCTCCTCGGGCCTCTGTGTGCATGTGGCTCTGGAGCACACTGCGGGCTTTCATGCAGTCTCCCTGTGCTTCCATTCGAATGTGGCTTTGTGGATCCAGTGGGCTTTTCTGCAGCCTTCCCAGGCCTCGGTGTACATGTGGCCCTGGACACCCTGCGGGTCTTCGTGCGGCCTCCCCACGCCTCCATGCCCACATGGCCTGTGGCCCCTATTCACTTTCGTGCGGCCTCCCCAGGTCTCCATGCGCACATGGCCCTGAGGACCCTGCGGGCTTTTGTGTGACCTCCCTGGACTCCGTGCACCCATGGCCCCAGGGGCTTTGTGTGCTTTTGTGGGGACTCCCTGAGCCTCTATGTGCACATAGTCTCGCAGGCCCTGCAGTATTTCATGCGGCTTCCCTGGGTCTGAATGCGCACATGGCCCTGGGGACGTGCGGGCTTTTGTGCGGCCTTCCCAGGCTTCACTGCACACATGGCCCCACGTGCTCTGTGGGCTTTTGTGCGGCGTCCATGGGCCTCCGTATGCACATTACCCCGGGGACCCTGGGGCCTTTTGTGATGGCTCCACAGACCATCCTGTATATGCAGCTCCGAAGGCCCTGCGGGCTTTCATTTGTCATTTCCAGGCTTCCGTGCATGCCCCTGAGCATCCTGCGGCCTTACTCGGCCTCTGCGTGCATGTGGCCTCGGGGGCCCTGTGGGCTTTTGTGCAGCCTTCCTGAGTCTTTGTGYGCATGTGGCCCCATCAACCTGTGGGCTTTCATGCAGCCTTCCTGGGCCTCCATATGAACATGGCCTCAGGCTCCCTACAGGCATTCATGTGGCCTCTCCAGACCTGCATGCATGCACAACCCTGGGGCCCTGCAGGGTTTCGTGTGGCCTCCCCACGTGTCCATGTGCACATGTAAGCGGCAACCCATCAGGCTTACATGTGTGACCCTCTGGCCTCCCCAGCCAATGTGCGCACGTGGTCCTGGGGACCCTATGGGCTTTCATGGGGCCTTCCTGGGCCTCCGTGCACATGTGGCCCCAATCACCCTATGGGCTTTTGTGCAGTCTCCCTGGGCCTCTGTGCGCACGTGGCCCCAAGGTCCCTGCAGGCTTTCGTGGGACCTCCCTAGGCCTCCGTGCACAGGTGGCCCCTCGCGACCTCCGGCCTTACATGCGCCCTCCCCGGGCCTCCATGCGCAGCTGGCCCCYGCACCCTCCGGGCTCTGTCTCCCGTGCGCTCTGTCCTGAAACACAAGGTCCCCCCAAGATTTAGACAGAGCTTCATCAAGCAGGACCTGCASTTCTCATCACCAGTTGCTGTGACAGAGATCCACTCCTGCCCTTGCTCTCCAGGCTTTTGTGGCATTATTCACATTACACACAAGGGGCCTGGAGTTTGCAACCCCAAGCTGGAGCAAACCCCTCCATAACTGCTGCCAGAGCAGAGCAATCCACAGACCGCTCTGCCATCACATCCAAGGACACAGCCATAAAAATAAAAGCTTTTTATTTTACTATTTTTTTCTTCTTTTTTTAATATACCATTACAGAGATATCCGYGTGACATTCTCACCAGCACAGGCAGCTCTGCAGCGGGCACTGAGCTCCGGCTCGTGCTGTCCCGCGTTCCTGAGCTGCTGCTGCTCGCAGTGCACAACAGGCAGGGCCCTCGGCAGGGAGATCCCGCCCTTGGGCTCTAGGGGGTCACCTTTTTGTAGGTAATGTGAAGGTGCTGAGTCATGGGCTGCGTAGTGGTTGCCATAGAGACTGTTTGTTCTAGTTTTCCATCAGAATTGAGCCTGAATTTTCTGGTAATCTAAGGAAATTCAAGAAAAAAACTATTACTATTGTAATTGCAATAATTATCATATGCATTCTTATCATATGAAAAAGGTACAATTACACTTGCTCTCCCTGCCCATGCTTTTGTAACTCCCCTCTGCTAATGTACCAATGTGCAGTCGCTTGCTTAATTGCATCATGTTTTAGCCACATAATATTAATGCCTAAATCCCCTCACGTGAAGTTTATCACTCAAATTCCAGTGAATAATTAAAAAAAAAACACTAAACACACACACTAACAGCAAAAATAAAACAAACACTAAATAAAAGAAAAAATCTTGTCTAAAAGATATCTAAAATATGCCCATCTTCTAACAGCCGTGAGATTAGATTAGCAGTTTAAAGTGAGGGAACCAGGGCTCATTCTCTGGCTCATGGAGCTCCTTTATGTACTACAAGAAACTATTGAGCCATAATATATTGGGTCATAATACTACTGGTCATAAAAATATGACCAGTGACATTTTATCTGAAAACAACAACAAAAATTAAACCAAACAGAACAAAACATTAACTTTTTGGTGAACAGGGGAAAAAGAACTTTCTCAGATAGCCACAATGCCAGCCCCTAGAGAGTGCTGGAATAAAAATGTCTGGGTCTCCCACCTTGAAATTCAGAAGAATTGTCTGGCAAGCATTACTAAATATCCTAAGGAAATGTGATACTGCACATATTTCWTGGGCATGCCCTGTTACTGCAATTAATCCAGAAGTCCATCATTAACAAAGAAACACCACTGCCCCACCACAATATTCAGAAATTTCTCTTCCATTGCAGCCTGCGTTCTGTTGAGGTTTGGATTCTGGGTTGGATGGCTCTTTGGTGTGACTCAGTACGACAGTTAGGTTTTAATGAGAGATCAGGCCAGTCCCTTGTGTGCTTTTAATCTCTGAAATGTTTTCTGAAGATTGCTAAAGAGAATATAAGGAGGGATGCTGGGCAGTACTTCCAAGAGTACCTGGGGGCAATCCATACCTAATGGATGGTTACCTAATGGATACCTAAAGGCTGATGTTAATCAACCTACCTTCTCAAGCAGACACCTTCTAGGGCCAGCACAACTACATGAATTGCTATCCGAGTGTGTACTCACTTGTTCCACGTGAGGCTTCTTGGCAAAGGAGATCCTGGCTATGGAGTGAGAAGCTATAGACAACTCCTGTCCATTCACCTCCCCTTCTTCCACCTCCACAAGACCTAAYAAGAAGCAAGGTCATAAACATTAGGCTACATCAAGGTTAACTCACAATGTCAGAAATATCAAGCTTTATGTAGTAGAAATATGTAGTTCTAGCACAGGCTACAAAGATAGCTCCATTCTCCCTGAAAAACAGTTTTATTTGACCTAGCAAACTGCAAATCCATGAAGTTTCATAAGCATAATACTTCCTGGAAAAAACATGTTAGGCAGACTTACTCATACAAGGGATAAGTACTGCAGTTAAATTGGCAGTTTTCCCTTCAGGATCTACTCTGTAGCCTTAGCTACCATTTCTTTTTGAGCATCAGCTGGGTTTTCAAAATGCTTTTGCTTCTAATAATGAAATTCTCTCTTACTCAACCCCTGTGAGCTGTATAACAAACATACCACGATACTACTTCCAGAGAGTGGGAGATTCTCCTAGTTTGGGAACCAAGAATGATCACCACGCTCTTTGTCAATGGCACCACGTCAATGGCATGAGAGAAGCCACCACTTACAGCACTGCTCTTGGCAGTGCAATGGCTTGGGGAAGCAGGGGAATGCATCATGCTGGACACTCCTGGATGGAGAAGTTGCAAGGAAGATTTAATGCCACCACTGTGACATCCTGCGAAGGCCACAAACTCTACGCTGAACCATTGAATCAAATACATTGAGTTTTAACATCATCCTTTTAAGTGGGAAGTTAAATCTGACCATTAGAAAGAGCTAAGAGTTGGCCAAACATGAGAACAGCAATAGAAGAAGAAATCACAGATGAGCTCATGAACCAACATATTTACCTCTCTACTTCTACCACAGGATCTACTGTGGTCAATTCCTGGGAGCAGGCCATCCTATCTGTGCTTGTTCCTCTCCCAAAAAGACTAGGATACCATGAAGGCAATGAGAATATCACCGACCCCTTTCCATTTGCCATCATCAGAACTCCTGCCTCAAACTGCATTTCTTGTTGCAAATTGAGGCTTTTCTGGTTTACAAAGTTAAATCTGCAATACCAATGTAACATTTTAGAACAGAATACCCCCACACACATCTCCCAAAATTGTACTGTTAAGCATTATTTTTTTAGTCCTTTCCTGTCACAAGAAGCTAACAAGTCAAATCACCTGTAACTAGCCTTGGAACCCAGCACTCTTGACATGACCTCATTAATACCAAGATGGGGATGCTGTTCTTTGATGCTGAACCCACAATTCAGATAAATGGAATGAAACTGATAGTGGGGTCTTGTAATTTTCTGGAAGAGTCATGAAACGACACCGCAGAATACGGACCTCTGCCTTTTCCCAGAGATCCCAAGCTTAGGCCTGTGAGGATCTGTAGGATACTGGGTTACTACCTGTGTTTTGGGCACTGATGAAGGCCACCTTATTAGTGTCGGGTTTGAGGCGGATGAATCCACATTCTCGATGCATTGGCTTCCTGGTGTCTGGATGGAAGGCATTGAACCTGAGGAGAAGTCACGATACAAAAACTGCTGTAGGGCTGCACTGAGAACAAAAGTGTTCAGCCTGGCTTCATCTTGCAGAGAACATGCAAGTTTATTTAACATGATTACTCCCAGCACTTAAAGGAAGAGTGAGAGACTGAACAGACTTCAAGGTTGGAAGATGCAAACACACAGAAGAGTAGTTCCCTTATACATACAACTGGTTCTTATAGCTGGAACCAGTTATTTAAGATCTGGCTTGAGATCTTCTAAAGCTTCTTAGTCTTTCTAACAGTTATACAGGAAATTCCCCTCGGCAGTTTGACCTTTCACCAATGCTTCAGCCATGCTCCGTCCACAACACACACTCCTCAAGGAAATATTTGGCATTACAGTATCATCTTTATTCAGCTTTTAAACCTGGCAACTTGCTTCCCTGAAGGTAGTTTCCTACAGGCAGTAACAGAGCAGACTTATTTCTGTCTCCTTACATAAAAAAGAATTAATCTCCTATGCCTACTTATTCTTTACCAGGTCTTTCTAACTCTACACAAGTATCTGGTAATTAAACAGCAGCTTATATACATGAATGGCAGGTGAAATACCTACATACCTTAGCAGACTATTCTACTGGCAATGTATTTATTCTAAAATAATCCCTCCTTTCATCCTATTTTTCATGAAATTGCCCACTCCGAATCCTTTGGCAGGAAAGGAATAAGTCAATCAGTGCATTAGCAGCAGCGCTGCTGCTAATTCCATATTTAAGAGTCCCTAATGCAACAGCAGTTCCTACACATTGTTTGTCCTTCTCTGCAGCCGCACGTCCCTATGTAATCCCCAAAATCAGCAGGCCACGAGAAGACGGCAAGGTGCACTGGGTCACAGCCTTGATCTGCACGGGTCACAGCCCTGATCCTGCACACTTCTGCTTCTGAACAAAGCCATGAACTCATTTTTGGAAAGCTCAAACATGTGGAAGCACATTGTAGTTTCAGACTAGTGAGTCTTCCCTGATTGCAGGTGCACAGCTCAGGACATAAAACAGAAACTGAGGCCACCAAGCCAGATCTCACTGCATCTTCACACCTGGTAGAGGAAAACTGGTGCCCTTTACAATTTGAAATGTGACATGCAAAAGAAATGCAACCACCCAAGCTCGCTGGAGCCATACCCACTCCAATCCAAAAGCTGCTGCCAGCACCGGCAAAGCCCTAGACTTACGAGAAGTTCAGCATGGGCTGCCCCACGTGAGAGATGTGCACTTCTTCCAGGTACTGAAAGGGCTTCATGGTAGGGAAGGTGCCGTCTCCCGGCGGATCCGAGAGCCAGGTGCCCAGCATCCAGGAGAGGGGCTCCATCACAGGGTTCAGTTGTGGCGTCTCTGTGGGGAAAAAAGGGAAGAATGAGGAAAGGGAAGGCAGGGATCTGTGCTCCCCAGCTTGCTGGGAGCTGCTTTCAGACGGTGGAGAAAGAACAAGGAGCACCTCAGGATTGCTCCAGAGCAACAGCAATGGTTTTACCCCGAGCAATCTCACATACAAGGTAAAACAAACAGGTTAGGAAAGCAGATATGTCCTACTGTCTACACTGTTTCTGATACAAACCAGGAGGCTGTTGGCCTTCTTGGCCACCCGGGCACACTGCTGGCTCATGCTCAGGTGGCTGTCGACCAACATCCCCAGATCCCTTTCCGTCACGCAGCTCTCCAAGCTCTCAAGCCGGCAGCGCTGCAGAAGGTGGTTGTGACCAAAGTGCAGGACCGGGCACTTGGCCTTGTTGAAGCTCATACAGTTGGTCTCAGTCCATCAATCCAGCCCCTCTAGATCCCTCTGCAGCGCTTCTCTAACCTCAAGCAAGTCATCTCTTTCTCCCAGCTTGGTATCACATGAAAATTTGCTGAAATCAGGGCCCAAAAGGGTGATGCTGTGGGTAAAAATTTGCTTCATCAGTCTGAGATCCAGTCTGCTCAACCCTAAACCTTGGGCTGAAAAGACTGAGCAAGGAAGGCAAATGTGGAGCCCGTATTTGGGATAATAAAGTAGGGAAGCTCCAACAAAGAGAATTCCCACTTTTGTTGTATCCTGTCACAACAGAAAGCAAGCTTGAGTCCAAAATCCTGCCCACATGTCAGAAAAATGCTGCTAAAAACCCTTCATTACCCTAAAGTTTTCTGCAAGGGAAGCAACAAGCAAAAAATGTGAAAGCTCACTGCGAAACTGGTGGAAAATCTACAGCACCAGAGCAACCCTCATCAAAAACCATCCTTCCCGTCTTGCATTTCCTCCACTTTTCCCCAGAGTTAAGTGAGGCTCTTAGAATCTACTCAACAAGATACTGGCCTGTATTTTATTGTTGCCTCTACTTACCTCCCTCCCATGTGCATGGCAAGCAGCCTGGACAGCAAGACATGATCTCCTGGGGCTGCAGTTACCTTTCTGCATCGATCACCAAAATCCAAATCAAAATCCAAGATTGCTGCGGGAAACCCTGTGCTGCGAGTTCTCTGCAGGCCACAAAGTCTCCTAGGGCAGGGAATCAGCCTTTGGAAAAGTCCATGGAAGCTGCAGCATGGGCTGCTGCYGCCCTCTCCTGGCCTTGGCTCTGTTCTCCCTTTAAGGGATGATTGCAAACTTGATTTTCTTTTGYTTACCAATTCGAGAGCATTTCAGGAAGTGGCAAAACAGCAAGAGAAATGTCAATGACCAGAGGATAACTGATTAGTTATCTGAGTTTGCGTTGGCACTTGTAAGAGCTGCGAGTTGCAGAACACTTTTTAAATCATGTTGGTTCATGGGTACTTGAAAATACCAAGAAATAAGARCCAAATCCAGCAATTTGCAGAAGAAACTGAAACTCTGATGTTTGAAGCTTCAGGCTCATGTGAGGTCTTCTCGGTGTGGCTGCTCCTGCACCCAAACACACACACTTTCTCTGCTAATGGAAAGACCCCAGCATTGACTCCATGAGCATCCTTGCTAAGGAAAACTCTTTCTTTCTCCCCTAKTAGACACTCTGATTTTTTTGAAGCCAGGAGGAATGTTTGAGACTACCAACCCTTTTACAGAAGCCACTACAACTAGCCCAGAAGTCCAAAGGTTATGACAACAGGGAGAAGAAGGAAAAAACCCACAAYGAATCAACCCTCAACACTGTCGGATGCCAAAGCCATCCAGCTCATGTCACTGCTTTAGGAAAGCAGGCTGAGCACACTCCTTTGCAAGGTGCACGTGCCGGCTGCTTCCACTCCACCAGCAGGACCCAGCCTGGCTCTCCAGTGTCRGCCGTGTACCTGTTGCCACGTGCAAAAATCCCTTTTGCTTTCATGTGAAACAAGAGGGAAAAAAAAAGAGAGAGAAAAAACAGGAAACTGTTTTCCTGTGCCAAAACCAGGAAACAAACATGCGGAGAGCTGCTCTGCTGCCTCTCTATTTTTGCTGTTCACCTCATCAAAATATGCGGCCTACAGCCTGCAGCCAGGCATTTTCCTGCAGCTGCTTTTCAGTAAGGTCCTGACAACCAACATGCCTCTGGGAAGGAAAAACTGGCTTGTTCTGGGGGCTTTTGACACAGTTAAAACACAGCAGGTGGCCTTACACCCCCAGCCGCTGCCCTCCTCTGATAAGGTCACCTCTTCCACTTTGCCAGGGCTCCCCCCACTTCCAACACCTTCTGGTACTAAAGTAACCACGAGYTGGTACATTCTGCTTCTTTGTTTCTATCTTCCGAGAAAATGTATCTGTAGGCACTTCCAGAGCTTTCCTGCAGTACAAAATATAGGGGAAGAAAAAAAAGAAAGGGAAAAAAAAAAGTTTTCAAAATCCTACCCTACTATGAAAAAGCAAAGTGTCCCAAGGCAACTTTACCCCAATATCTCTTTTGCAAACTATCGTGTTTTGGGGTTTTCTTTTAATTTGTCACAAGTGACTTTTGGCTCACTGCGGAATTTAATGTGGTAACAGAGGAGGGGAAGCAGGGCAGCGCTGCGGAGATGGAGCTGTTGACACCCACAAGGGCAGCAGTACTTGTTGTTATTGGATCTCCCACAGATGAAGGCTGAAACGCGGCGAGGTGAAGCAGCACGTCCACAGGCCTCGACGGAGCAGGGGTTTCCCAAAAGCAGCAGGTTTTAGGGGCAGCAAGCCAGGAGGAGAGGCTGGCAGGTCTCTGGATCAGGACACGCAAACTGCTGTCCAACGATGAGTTCCTAATGCAGGTGTCCAGGCAAGGACTGCTGTGACGTCCAACCATCTCTCTTGGGAAAGCTTCTCACATTTGAGCAGAACATCCTACATCCTCACCAAGTACCCACACCAAGTATCTCTGCTATCACCCACACCAAGTATCTCTGCTATCATCCACATCCACACCAAGGATCTTTGCTACTTGCTTTCCATAGCCCAAATAAAAGCCTATCACCATCCTGATGGAAACCATGACCTCACATCACTGCAGAGGCATCAGGCCTTGCAAAAAAAAACCCAGACCTTTCATGATTCCTAAAGTTACCTTATGCTGCTCTCACTCAGCTGCAAAAGTATTAAACACAACTAGAATTCTGCAAGAGCTTCTACAAATATCAAAAAAAAATCCAAAACGGAAATATTTTCTATAGATCCTCAGCAAAAGCCTAACAACTTTTCAAGCAAACCCACTTTAAAAACACCACTGCCTTTCATATGACCTTCAAGAAAACCAACATGGAGTTTGGAAGAGACTCCCAATAGGTGCAAGCTACCACATTTTAACAGCTTTACCTCCCTAAAACACATATAAATACATATATTTTAACCCCATTGAATCCTACCTGTGTTGGCTGCACCGCTGCTCATAGCTTGCGGTTATTTTTAGCTCCAAGCACCCTTGCTGCCCGGAAAGCTCTTCTTACTTGCCTGTGAAGAGCTATTCAGGAAGTGATTTCAGGACTGGGTACGGAAGTGATCCTAATGCCTGCTGGGAATTGTAGTTTTGAGAGAAATGACTAAAAAATAATAAGTGTGTGTCAGCAATTCTGGGAAAAAAAGCATCATTTCTTCTCAGTTACAGCACAGGGGGAACGTGATGCTGAGGAATTCCCCTGCAGAACAAGACGGTCGTTTCTGCCTCGGGATCCTGATCTTGGGAGGACACATTTCACCTTGTCCTGCCTGGTCCTTCAAGCCCAACCACACTCTGCTGAAGTGTTTCTCCACCTTTGATCTGCAGACATCAAAGGTGGTTCCTGAAAGGAGCAGAAATAGTTTCCTGGTCAAACGGGTGAACCAAGCAGGAGTTCGGCATGGTAGAAGTGGTAYGGAAAACATCCCAGGGATGTTCCCAACAACCTGATCTCCTCCAGAAACGTTGCTTCTGCTGCAYGAGGGCATCCCATCCATCTTCCTTCCGTATTCATCCAGTCTCGCACTTGCTCGAGGGCACAAGTCACTTGAGGGTGCACAAGAAAGGCAGAAAGGCTCAAAATTTCAGCCTGCACTTATACAGGGAAAAAAAAAAAAAGCCAGCCCCTAACAAGCTCTTTAAAAATATCACTGGCTAAAAGACTTTTATCCACGCAAATTTTCCCAGCACAAGTTGTAATCATGGAAATGATGAATTTCTACATCAGTCTCCAGTTTTGTCAACAGAAAACAGCCRAAGCAGCAATATATTGATAAAAAATAATTCATTTTTTGACCTTAGAAAAGGGCATAATTCTTATGTTCTTACAGTACATATGCTTACTATTCTTASGCTCTCATACATGTAGGTATAAGGACATCCACCTTTTAAGGGAGAAAAAAAAAATCCTTGAAAAAAARRGGAAAGAAAAAGACTACTTGAATAAGGAAAAATATCCTTCAACATACATTATATAAAACAATTTTAAGTTGCCATAATTAGCATATACACGGTAATCATATGTGGGAATTAGCATATTACATGTGTGCATATGGCACACATTAGCATGTTGGCATATATAAATATACACACGAACAAATATATATGCAAGTTATGGCCACCTAAAATTGTTGTTAGGTATTTTCTCGGCACCGAAACAGTATGAAAATGCAGACCAGAAGGTAGGTGTAAAAAGACTCTGCCAATTCCACGCAGAACTGACATAAATAAGTCAAGTCAAATCCTTTCCCCTCTCCCCAAACCAAAGTGCAAGTTTTCTGCACTTTTCCGAAAGACACAGGAACATGAAAACACATGCAGAAAACACTGGGAGGGCATCAAGCTGAAAAAACATCAAGTCTATTTTGAATCCTGCTGACTTCTTTCCCAGAACGACATCCCGTGACTAGAGTCACTGAGCAAGTTTTATTAGTTGTGAGTCAGGTATAATAAATGACTCCCTGTAAGAGAAAGGGCTAGGGCCCGGCTCAGCCTCATCATAATAACGATTTCTGCACTATCCTGTCCCTCTGCTTTTTTCCCTACAGACAGAGAGGTCATAGCCCATCTCTTCTCACTTTCTTAGCCATTTCCTGACTTCTTCCAGCTTTCTGGGAAGGAAACGATCAAACTGCATGCAACTATTTCACTCAAGAAAAATATGCTCAACAGGTATRACAGGACTGTCGTATTTTACCCCTACTACATCACTTAGCAGATGCAATATAAGCAAAGACCAGAATTTTTCTTGGATCATTATGGAAAAGCACGATGGGTTTCCCACATACCTTCCAGACACGATATCTTATTAAGACATTGGTGACCTTCACAGGTGTTCTCCAAAGAAAATCAAATTATAAYAAGTGCCATCAAGTCACAAATGAACAAATTAAAGTAACAAGCGAGGAAAAAGTGAAGCGTCCTCAGAGGACTTGTCCTTAACACTGTGACCTGACTTCTTGTTCCTCATCAAGAGCTGCCTAGAGGAACCTTGTGAAAACAATGCACGGGCACGTTAATATCTTTAACTCAAAGGACACAGAGTATGGAGAGAGAGAGAGAGAGAGAGAGAGAGAGAGGGAAGTAGCATCTTTTAAAATACATATGACAGTGACGGAAAAAAAAGAAAAACAGAAAAAAAAGGCTTTGGGAGTATGAGAAGTGGCAGGTGTGCTCAAAACCAAACTATTTCAGCTGCAACTGTTGATCTAATAAAAGCTGCTACTTCTTCCTCCAAAAGACATACTCATCACCTCTTTATTACCTCTAACTTAAAAGATCTCTTATTTTTTTAAACAAAACGAAATCTGAATTCTGCCTCAGTGCAAGGATACTGGAGATACTGACCACAGTCCTGCGATAGCAGACTGTTCAAGTAAGGGAAGCTGATCCTCTTCAGTTCATCTAACTTCTCTTTCAGCTTCCTGACTTGACTGTCAGAGCGACTGATCCTCTGCCTCAAGAGTTTCAGCTCCCCGTTCTTCTTCTCCACCTGCTCACGCAAGCAGCACACCTGACTTTTGCTTTGCCTGGAGGAGAAACAGTAGGAGTGGAGCGAGTCAATGAGCTTGCAGGCTCCTGATGCCGACATGATGACCTCGTTGATGGACATGGGATTGGCGTCCGTGTCCCCCTTCTGCCCGACCACAGCCTCCGCGGCAGGCTGAGGGGTTAGGTCTGCTGGGGACGCCGACAAGCTCTGGGAAGGTTTCTGAGGGGTCACAGTTAGGGATGAAGTAGAGGAGCCTTCTGCTAAGGCGTTATCGTGTCCCACGAGGTTGCTGCTGCAGCTCGGTTCCGTGTCTCGCTTTGGCCTTTTCCTTTCTAGTTGCTCCTTTGGGAACGATGGCCTCTCCCTGGTGTGCTTGGAAGAAAAGCTGTAAGAGTGCAGGGAGCCGATGAACTTGCAAGCACCAGACGCAGGGGGCGTGAAGTCGTCAACCGATATGCCGCTTCTGTCTGCCATCCAGCCGCCTGTCCGCATGCTTTTAGGGCAATCCTCCATGCAAGGTCTCTCAGGCCTTTTCTGAGAAGCTGGCTTTGCAATTAAACCATCCCCTAAAGTCCTTTTGCGAGGGCCGTCCAGCTGCCTGTAGATACTCTCCTCTTTCTTAGCTATCGACCCCATTTCAGCTTGCAAAGTCGCCTCCTCCATCTCGTTAGTCCCTTGCATCACCATCAAGCCCTGCTCAGAAGAGGAGGTTCTCTGCACTACCTCACAGCCTCCTTCCCTCGGCGGGTCTCCATCCTGTAGCGCTACCTGGCTGGCTATTTTCCTTCTGCTTCGGACATAATCCAGGTTGTCGTCTTTTTTCTCCGCAAGCTGGAAGATGGTAGGGACGGCGGTGGGCTTGAGCAGCCGATGCTGGTCTTCCAGGCGCTTGGAAAAGCTGTCTTTGGTGAAATGCTCGCTGCAAAGAAAGGAATACTTGGTGGGAGTCCAGTTGTCCCTCTGGACGGCTTTCAGCCACTGAATGAGGCGCTTCGAGTCCTTTAGAGGGAACCTGAAAGGCAAACGGAAGAAAACAAAATCCTGAGAAGATAAGAAGATCCCCACCTGGAATCATAAAGGTTTGTGCCGCTTGCTTTTAAGTTTAGGAAGGGCAAATTCTTCCACGTTTTGAGAGGTTTGGCCCATTTGGGGGCTATTCCGCAGGCACATTTGCTGCCCGTTCCCGCTGCGAGGGCCCTGCCGGGAGGACAGAGCCCACGGGCCTCGTCGCCCACGGGCCTCGTCGCCCACGGGCCTCGTCGCCCACCCGCCAACCGCCCCGCTCGCGGACGCAGGGCGCCCAGGAGACGCGAGCCGACCCCGGGCACCCCACCCGGCCAACACCGCCCGATCGTTAGCAACCAAATAAAAATAAATACAAATGAGGGATTTTCGACGCCTCACGTTACGCGGGGCGAAACCCTCCCGGAGCGGCACTCGGGTGCCCACGAGGCGCCCGCCCGCGCCCACGGCGGCTCGAGGGGCGCTCACCTCGGCCGCCGCAATGGGAATTTCATTGGAATTCTTTGAGGAACGGGAGGGGCGGCGGGGGGGCCGCCGTTGTCAGCGCGGGGCGGCGGCGGCTCCGCGGGGCCGCGCAGACAAAAGGCGGCGCGCGGAGGGGCGGCCGCCCGCCCTTCCCTTCCCTCTCCTTCCCTTACCTGTGGAAGGAGACGGCGCCGCGGAGCGCCTTGCCCTGCCGGTTGGAGCAGTTGGCGGCGGCGCAGCAGATCACCATGGCCGGCCGCGCCGCCGGGCCCGGCGCCCTCCGCCCGCCCCGCCCGCCCCCTCCTCCGCCCTGCCGGCACGGCCGCCTCCGCCGGCCGTACAGCAAGATGGCGGAACCGGGTCACCTCGGCTGCCCCGCTGCGCCTTGGGGATGGGGGTTTCTGTACGGCGCCGCCGTCAGACAAAGATGGCGGCCGCCACTAGGGCGCTGCCATTTTGGCCGAGGCTCCGCGGCGCCCGCGGGAGGTGTCGCCTGGCGGCGCCGCGCGTGCTGGTCCCCTTGGTGGTGGCTCCGGAGCCGCGAGCGGCTCGGGGCGGCCCGGATGCACGAGGAGAGGCGCTTCGCACAGGGGCCGTGCACGGAGTCCAAGGGGGAGGGAGGAGCTTGTTCCTCTGGGAAAGGGAGGGGGCGGGGCCCGGCAGAGTCCGTACAACACAATGGTTGCTCCCACGCTTCAGGACTTGCCCCGGCGCGCGTGCGGGCGGCCGCCCCTGCGGGTGGGCTGCGGGGGCGAGCAAAGCGCTTACGGGTCGCCGCGCCGCCTCGCTCGCCTTCAGGCTCGGTCGCGGAGCCGAGACGCCCGGACACCCCCTTGCCGTACGACAAAATGGCAGCGCCCAGGCACGCTCGGCGGGGCGGCGCTCCCCTGGGCTGCAGCCTATCGGAGCGCATGCCGGGGGCAGGCGGTGCTCTGATTGGACGGCCGGCGCGCTCGCCGCTGGGTCGCCGTTCGGCTGCGCCGCGCCGGGGCGGATGCGTGTGAGGAGGCGGCGGCGGGCGCGGGCCGCGGCGGCGCCCCTCGGTTGCCGCCATGGACGCAGGTGCGCGGCGGGAGCGGCGCCCCGGGCTACGGAGGCCGCTGGGGCCGGCGCCTTCGGGCGGGCGCGCGGCGGGGCCTAGCGGCGGCGGGAGCCGGAGGCCGGGCCCGGGCGCGAGGCTGCCGCTGGCCGAGCCCGTGCTGGCCGCGGGGAGGGGATTCCAGCGGAGAGGGAGCGGGMACCGCGAGGAGGTGTCGCCGGGGCGGGGAGCGGCTGCACAGGGTCCTGTCCTGGGCAGTGTCCTCCTGTGGCGCCCTCGCTTCATCCCCTCCTCGGTTCTGCTCCAGGCTCTTCCAGCCGAGGGATTCGCGGCCTGCCCGAGCGCTTACAACATAACTGATGCTCCTGGCCTGGTTTATTTATTATTTAATATTTATTTTTGTTRAGGTTGTATCTAGTGACACGCTGACGTTCAAAACAAACCAACAAAAAGCCTGGTTGGAGCGGTCAGGGCTGACCTGGGATGCCCCATTTCCTAGGGAAGTGTCAGGGAAACCAAGGGAGGACGTAGAAAGGGACCTGTGCTCCGAAAGGTCCCTCAAAATCACAGCACGTTTTTATCCTCCTGGTAAGAACATCACCAAAACTGAGTGAGAAAGGGACAAAACAAGACAAACCACTAAGTAAAAAAAAAAAAGTAGGCAGGGACCCTGGGGAATACTTAAAGGTTGGCTGTGCAATAAAGACAGTTTTCATCTCACTTAGCACAAAACTAAGTGCTAGGGTCAAGGCCAGAATCTAACTAAAAATGAGCTTTGTAGCCTGCGATGCTGGTCCTGCTCCTCCTTCAGCAGCAGTCGGTCTTTAGAGCCCGACTCTTAGCGCGCTCCTCCGTGGAGGGCCCGGGGTTTGAGCCCTGCCCTTGTCGGCTTCCTCTCCCTTGTCCACGGTTGTGTCATGAGGGATACAGTTTCTCTCAGCTCCTTGTCGCATCCTGTTGGAATCCTGTGTTGCGAGTCACTGCAACACTGACTATAAGCTCTCCTGTGTTACTCTGTGTGTTTACTATTTCTAAGCTGCAAGGAAAGACTACAAAGGATGTGTAACGCTGTTGATCTCTTTTCTAGCTACTCTTACCTATGACACCCTCAGGTTCGAGTATGAAGACTTCCCAGAGACCAAAGAACCCGTCTGGATACTAGGCCGAAAATACAGTGTTTTTACAGGTACTTGAAATGCCCTGTGTGACTTTCCTTGCCGCTCCGGAAGGTTTTGTTAATACTGAGTATCACTTTCTGAGGAGCAAGGTGACTGTGGACCTTGTGAGTGCAAAGCAGAGTCTGCTGGCTGAGCATGCAGGCTCAAGGGTAATATCTCCCTGCAGAAAGGTATGAGCTATTGGGACTTGTCCTGTGAGGCTGAAGAAAGGGAAAGTCTTGAAGGAGGGGCAAGGAAATGGCTCGTTGCCTCAAAACCTGACCTGTGGCCATGGTCTCTGTGGGTTAGTTGTGGCCTCGTGGAGAAAAGAGAAGGTTTCTCTTGCACGTGATGCTCTCCTGTTCCTCAAGCAGATTTTTGCCTCTTTAGGAGAATGACCTGAGTGAGAAGCCAAACACCGGGGACAGAGGTGAAGGTGGTAGGAAAGCTGCTTAGTCTGACTATCCTTTTATGTGTGTTCTCTGATTTCTTTTGGAAACATTTTAGAAAAAGAAGAGATCCTTTCGGATGTCACCTCTCGGCTCTGGTTCACCTACAGAAAGAACTTCCCTGCCATCGGTAAGTGTTGTAGACAAGTCCTGAAAAACAAACAAGGYAACACGGCTTCCCTTGCTTTCTGGGACTGGCTGGGAATAAACAGGTTCAGAATTGTGAGATGATCAGCTTTTAACGGGAAAGGTGTTACAGATATAACAGGTAAGTGAACAGTCTCCTCTTGGCTCCTATCTTCAGTTTGAAGATGACATGAATGAAGGTGTCTCCTCTATCATATGTGCATGTACTCTTTTTACGGAGAAATCAATAGAAAATATTCCTTCATGATCTTCAACTGGGCAGCTCTTTGTTTTCATGTCAGGAGTAGATAAAGTGGTAGCCCTTTGGGTTCGTAGCCATGGGGTACATTTTGAAAGCCCTCTGTTCTGGAATGCCGTATTTTGTTACCCTGGGCTGAGTTTTTGTGTCATTCTGTTGTTTTTATGGGGGAAAAGATGGAGAGAAGAGACTTGCTTTTTTTTATTTTAGCACTATTGAGCATTTGAATTTGACAGTAATGTTAGAAAGGTCATGAGAATGAGTGGAGGAAGCCTACAGGAAACCTTTCTTTGAGCAGCACGGGAAAAAAAATGGTGCTTTTGGTGCTAGTGAAGTTCTACATAGGTTTGAAGAAGACTAATTACGCTCTTCTTGGTCTTGATGTGGCTTAAAGAGATAAGCTAGAGAGAGGATACAGAAATTGCTGCCTTAAAGTATCTGCCCTAAACTATGATTTATTTATTTAGTTATTAAGACCCAGAATTGATGTTACACCCAGGGACCCAGTTCTTGGGGGGTATTTTCTCTTGGTGCCCTTCATCCAGAATGACTGGCTGGAATCGAAAGGAGGAAAAATCAGCTTTACAAGGAAACTCCTTCCATGGGTTGTACTCGGGCACTGTCCGTGTAGTACAGCTGTGCTCATCTCAACTTCTTCTCTGTGAAGCCTTTAATAACAGGCATGGCTTCAGTGGAGAAGCAGCAGCTTCCTTTCGAAGCTGTGTCACGGGAACACTTTCTGCCTTGAGGCCTTTGTCTCAGATTACCAAATATGAATTAACACCAGCTTAGACGCTAATACTACGTTTGGGTGTGGATTTCTTTTTCTTTTTTTTTTTTCTTTTTAACTCTGTGTTGTTCACTTTGGCATCTCACCTTGTTGGCAATTGCTTGTGATGTGGGAATTCCTTGTGACTGATGTCATTTTTCATGGGGAGCTGCCCACTTGGGATGAGCATTAGAAATGGTCTGTCCTGAACACCTCTGTTTTGAAATGTGTCCCTGAGTTGGAAATCTGAAACTACTCACGAGGGCTGCTGGGCTTGTGAGGAATTCGCCTCTTTAGCCGAGTTTGAATTTCCTTTCCAAGTTGTTGTTCCTCCCTGCCTTGGAGTTAATTTAAGGCTTTGGGTTTTCTTTTGACAAGTGTCACTATTAGTCACTGTCAACTGTATTTTAATCCCTCAGTTTAGCTATCATAGTCCTAATTTACGATTTCAGATTTGTCTTCTCCTTTTTTCTTGCAGGAGGAACCGGTCCCACTTCAGATACTGGCTGGGGCTGCATGCTGCGGTGCGGCCAGATGATCTTCGCTCAGGCCCTGGTTTGCAGGCATTTGGGTAGAGGTAAAGCAGTGCACAGTCCGTACTGACTTCCAAAATCAGGTGCTCCAAGAAGTACCATACTCATAAGGAAGACAGATAACAAGGGCACAATTAGGGGTTGCCAAGGGCACAGCTGGGAATTGCTGGAGGCTGTGTTTTCTTTTTTATTATTTTTATTTTTCCTGAATCTTCTCAGGTTCAAGGCTACTGAGAAGTCTACTGAAAACTCTCCAACATTTTCCCCTGCTATCTCTTAATCTACATAGGTAAATACAGTTTTAAAAAGGGGGATGGAGAGAGGAAACAATGTATGTGCTGTAGCTCTTCTCCGTAAGTTCCTCTCTGCCTGAGGAACGATCATTTTCCTTTCAATGATAAGAGATATTCAAATATGCATCACATCACAATAAGGGGAAAACACCCTCTTCATATTTCAGCTTTTGGCTACAGCAGTCTGGCATACCTGCTGCAAAGTGGTGACTATTTTCAGAATGATTCTATGTTTTGGCAAATCCTTGCCTATTTCTTAAGACAGATGAAGTCCTATGACATGCCAGCAAAATCCATTGAAGATTTAGCCAAGCACTAACAAATTTTCTTATATGTATATGTGTTTGTGTGTATAATTAATTTAAAGTTTAAAAAATTCTCAAAAGAACATGGGAATTAACTGCTGCTTACAGTTCAGTTTTTAACCTTCTGTGAAGAGGCCCTCATGTGCTGAGCATAGTGTCTTCTCCCTGGATACTTCTTTTCTGAAACTTCTTAATGACCTTTGAATGAGTGCAAGATGATTTTTGTGATGAAGTCACCTGTTTTTCCACAGAATATGTAAGTTCATGCCTGTCCTAGAGATACTCTAATCCTATTTGCTGTCTGTGGGATAACAAGGTGGAATTAGTGATGACTTTTTCTTTCTAGGGGTGATTTTGCTTTACCTGCGCTGTGACAATATTTACTGTTCTACTAGCATTCATTCTGCAGTGTTGGGAATGCCTCAGATGCCTCGTAGTAAGAGACCGACTGGAAAACTTTGTCCGGGGTTGATGCCCGGGGAAGAGAGCTCGTTGTCTCTGGCAGTCTCTGGTTGCTAATAAATTAACCTGCTTTCTTTCTCTTTCCCACCTTAGACTGGAGGTGGATAAAAGGGAAGAGGCAAGCGGACAATTACTTCAATGTACTTAATGCCTTCATCGACAAAAAAGACAGCTACTACTCCATTCACCAGATAGGTAAGATGCTAAAGAGTTTGTGGGGTATTCTGTTGGCATTTCCTATGACTGTGTAACATGACTTCATGTGTATTTTAACAGCTTAGCCAGAAAAAAAAATAATAGCAGGTCACCTAGTATATGATATCGTACTGCTTTTACTGATGTACTGTTTTTTGATGTGATCCAGACCACTTTGTATTATGGGTTAGGATAGATTTCCATGTGGACTCCATAAGGCTGTTATGTTTATCTCATGCTTTAGGCTGCGTTCAGCATCACTGTCCTTGCCTTGGTTAACTAACATAAGGCAAACGGATCTAGGTGATGTTTTCTGCAGGATCTGGTAATGTGAAAAGATTGCTGTGTGAAGAAGTTCTCACAAGTAGTGAGTGAATTAAGAAAGGATCTAATTTTAATACTAATTTCCCTGGTAAATAAAAAGAGAGAACCAGCCTCCTCTAGCCTTTCCTATTGGACAAAGTACCTACAGTTTCTGTGAGTGATTATGGAGAAGTTCCTGGAGATCCAGCACTATAAATAAAACTTCTGAGATAATACTGCTCGTTGGACTTCTGCATCATAAACTTTTGGGAGAAGGTTTGCTTTACAATCCCCGAGGATTTGTTTCTCTTCTTTCATCCCTTTTTGAGTAGATAAACCAAATCATCCTTTCTGAAGGTCATAATCATAGGATAATTTAGGCCTCTAGAGCACCACCCTCTCAAAGCAGAGAACTTAACTTCAAAGCTCTGTTGCTCAAGGATTTGTCTAGTCTTGCAGGTTTTACTTCAATAGCTTTTTGGCTGACTGTTTTCATAGGTTTTATGAACTTCCACACTAAGCCACCTTGTGAAAGGGTAGCTCCTGCTGACCCCAGAATGTTTCCAAATGAGATTTGGTCCCTATTAAATACAAATTCCCAATAACACATGGAGAAGAGTCACAGTGAATAACTTGCTAAATTATACTTTTTTTTTTTCTTTCTTTCTTGCAATGCAGCCCAGATGGGAGTTGGAGAGGGGAAATCCATAGGCCAGTGGTATGGACCAAACACAGTAGCACAAGTGCTCAAGTAAGTGCCGTGCTTTTCTTTTTAGCAATAAAGTTGGGGCCTTCTGGTTTGTAATACCTCCTGTCCTAAAGGCTTCTGCCTGTTGGATGAAGCACAATGTTGGATGGTGTTGCCACCTTTTGAACTTAACCTGATGGGGCAGGAACTTTAAAAGAGCCCTTCTGTTACTCACATGTGGGCAGAAGATGAGAAAAAAACGAGTTCAAGATGAGGACAACTCCTGAAAAATCTCTCTCTGTGCCCCACAAGTTGCATGTTTTCTCCTGCAGCTGAATGCAGCGCTGCTTGGGTCAGACCAAGCAACTGTCAAAGCAGGTGTCACTGTCATTAGGATCTGTGCTGGCTTCCTTGCTGGCAGGCAGAGGATCAGGACTGCCCTTAACTGGGACGTGGTAAAACCAGTCATTTTTGGCCACTCCTGTCACTAAGCTTTCCTTGCTTTTTCTCATTGGACAAGCTGGGAGCTCCCTGAAAATATATTTAAAGCACAACTGATGAAAGACTGATGAAAGCCAGTCTCTCCTAATCCATTTTTTTCTGGCACAACACCATTTTTGTGTTGTATATTGTAACAAATCCTTTTTTTTCCCTAAACAAAACTCAACTTTTTCTCTAGAAAACTCGCTACTTTTGATACATGGAGCAACCTGGCAGTGCATATAGCMATGGACAACACTGTAGTGATGGAAGAAATCAGTAAGTATCACACGGAGGTAAAAGTACCTTGTAGCAAGAGGCCAGGGAAGAACTGGAAAGCAGAGAGTAAAAGAGCAGAGCAATCTTGAAATCCTGCCTTAAAGCGGTGACCAAGTGTGCTAAGTAAGTGCTGAACCCAGTGCAAAGTTAAGGGTGAGATCACAGCAGATGGCAGTTGGACTGGCTTCAGCTGCCCTGGAGCTGTACCAGGCAAGGACAGTTTGTCCTGAGAGTGCAGGATTGTTGTGGCCGTATCTATCCATAGATATCAAGCCATATCTATCTGTTGCCAGTCTCAGCCGAGAGGCCAAGAACCAGAAGATCAGAGTGAGCACCAGTGTTGYCTAACCTTAAGTACCAATTGCTCTGTGAAGCTGTGTGCCGATGTCCTTGGCTTAAACATGGGTCAGCAAAGAGAGGGAAATTTGGTTTATTTTTYGCTTTAGCCTGAAAAGGCTACTTTGAGGCAAGGCTTGGGAATGCTGCAGGCTGTATTTGTGTGGCTCACGGTGCCCGTACTGGTGCCACAGTGAAGCATTTGGAATGTAACACTGCTTCCTACACGTAAACTAATTTGCTAATGCTGTAATAGGCAACTGCTCATCCCAAGCCAAATAGGAAGTGCCTTTTACTACTGCAGAGAAAAACTATCCATGTATTTTTCCCCTCAGAGTCAGCCCCCTTTATCCAAAAGAATATTTTAGTGCATATTTGGGGGATCCAGTGCATCAGAGAAGTGGGGAGAAACCAAGGTAGGTTCCCCTGTGCCCTGGGATGATGGCACTAGGAAACCCAGTGAAGGAGCAGGATTAATTTAATTTGTGCCAAGCTGCCTACTGCTTAACCTAGGCTTGAATATGTTCAGGTCATCAGAACAGCARCTACAAAGAACAAACGACAGTCTTTACTGTGTGTTTCAGTGAGATAATTCAGTAGAAATTGTGACTGTTCCAGTTTTCTCAAAACCCTGGCAACTATAGCGCACGTATGTGTATATAAATATATATGATACACACACATGCATATGTAGCTTCACATTAGGGGTTCTCTGGTTTTATTTTTCTCGATATCTGTGCATACAAGGGCTCACCTAGCTAGCAAATCGTGAAGGTAGCCAGTGAGACAGCTTAGAGGTGTGTTTATACCAGAACTTACCCAATGTGGTTTTATCATTTCCTGCCTGCGTGTTTATCAAGCTGGAGAAGGCGGGATGCAATTTTTTTTTCCTGTATTTTGTTTTTTTCTGTTCACGTTCCCTCTCYGTAGGGCGGCTGTGCCAGCCCAGCTCACTGGGTGCTGGAGCTGCAGCGTTCCCTGGTGCGGAGCCAGAGCTGCTCTATAACGGGCACCCCGAGGAAGCAGCGGGTAGAGATGGGCTCTCGCTGTGGAAGCCACTGGTGCTGCTGATACCTCTCCGGCTTGGGCTCACAGAAATCAATGAAGCCTATATCAAAACACTAAAGGTAGAGGACGTGAAGCTGAATTCCTGATCTCTTTGTGCTTAAAGGCCCCACTGCGAACTAAGTCATTTCTGGAATCTAGTTTCAAGGTAGAAATGCTCAGAAGCCACTGTCCTATTTTTCCAAAGAAAATATTTGTTTAGAGACAACTGTTGCTGGAGGTCCAGATGTGCAGTTCTTACAGGGTTTAAACACAAAAAAAAAAGGGTTTTTTTTGAGACTTTMATCTAAGGCCCTGTCTGCATATATGTGGTATCAACCTGCTGAAGCATTTGTTCAGTGCAGCTCCTGTGCTGTGCTTGGTATCAGCCTGAACCTTAATGAAAGGTGGCTGAAAACTTGGGGCCTCAGGGGTGGAAAGTGTTCTGCAGGCTGAGGGTACAAGCTCATGACTGCAGTGGGGAATGACACAAGGCTGCAGTTTGGGATGTACAGAGTTCATGCCCGATTTGGGATGCACGTTGTCCTGCTATCTGTCTCCTGGCTGTTTGGGTAAGACAGCTCAGATAATCCGCCCTTTATTTGGCGTGTGGATAACACAGCAAGACACAGCTTGATACACACCATTGTGTTTTCCTGTCACCATTTTCAAGGTGTTTCTTAGCTGCTTCCTTGCCCCTTGAAGGCCCCTGTGTTGCAGCCTTCAGCCTTTCTGACAAAGCTTCTATCCAGAGATGGCTGGCTTAGCTACTGGATTATATTTTTTCCCTCCAGTGTCCCAGTCTTTCTTTCCCATTGTATTTTGGGATATTTGCTGCTGCTGCACCTTGCTGTCTCAGTGTTTGCCAGCTGTGTGTTTTCTGCCTTGCTTTTGCAGCACTGCTTCATGATGCCCCAGTCCCTGGGAGTGATCGGAGGGAAGCCGAACAGCGCTCACTACTTCATTGGCTACGTAGGTGAGTGCTCTGCTGGGTCCAGAGAGCCACAAAGAGTTTCCAAGCATCTCCCCCCAAAAATTCCTGTCTGGAAATGCTCATGGGGCACTACAGCTTTCCTGCTTCCACTGCTGGGCTCTTCTTTCCTGCAGAAATCCTGGACCAATGCAGCATGGGGCAAACGCCATAGTGCAAGCCTTAAAACTTGGACTGTACAACCCTAAATCCTATCTGCAGTGATCTCTTTCTAGATTGAGAGCTTACCTCCCTTCACAGACCTTGGGGCTGTCCCTTAGGTGTTACCTTCTGAGAACCTACCAGCTGTTGCCCCTCATTTTCTCTCCTGAGACCCCAAGCTGGTTGTGCTGCTTGTGCAAGAATCGTATCCAAACGGTGAATGGTACCTTGGGCTCTGGCACCTTGAGCCCAGAGTGCTCCCGCAGAATGGGCACTCTGTTTTTGCTGACAGCTGGCTCATTGCCTAGATGAGAAGCTTCTGAGGAAGCTGAAAGCAAGTTACCCCTAGAATGTGGATTCCTGAGCAGGGACTCTAGAGCTGTCCCTGTCMTCCCTCTTCCTCCTCCTTGTATCTCACAATTCGCTTCTTGGAGGAACAACTTCTGGCATAGTTCTTCCCATTCATGTCTCCCTGCCTGCCTTTCCAGGGGAGGAGCTCATTTATCTGGATCCTCACACGACCCAGCCTGCAGTGGAGCCCGACGAGAGAGGCTGCCTGCCCGACGAGAGCTTCCACTGCCAGCACCCTCCGTGCAGGATGAGCATTGCTGAGCTTGACCCGTCCATCGCGGTGGTGCGTCCCTGCTGCGTGTGGCCATGCTGAGCAGCTGAAGTAGCAGCGCGGTGGTCCCGGGGTTTCACAGCCACTGCCTTTCCCCTGGCAAAGGAAGGGGTAACGGGTCAGGTGCTCCATAGGTGTGTTGTGTTCYGGGCAAGCGCTGCCAGTGTAATACACTAAGTTTGGGAAACAAGCTCCTCGAAGCAGTTTGGTGCAGCAAAATTCCCCTAGTGTGGCCACGAAGTAACATTCTCCCTGGGTCTCCTCCTCTCAGGCCTCTTTAGTCTGGGCTTTGGTGGCTTTTGAAGATCTGGATCCAGCTGTGCCATTGGATTCAATTCAGTGCTTTCTGTGGAATCCAAGATGATTGCCCTGGGTTGCCAACAGACCGTTTCCATCCAAGCTTCCTTCTGCCAAAGAGCTATTATATTTATGCTTGCTTGGAGCATAAATATAAGGATGGGCTTAGAGTCTGGTTAGTGAGTCTATGGGGCGGATTCAGGTTGGCAGGACAATGTCATCTATGGTTTAAAGGAAGGCCCTTAGAAGTGATGTAACTGCCTGCAGCCCAAGGCATGCTGCTTGGTGTCAACATAAGGCCTTATGACCAAAATGATCAGTCTGTAACTGTACAAAGATAATGATTTTTTTTTTTCAGGGCTTTTTCTGCAACACAGAAGAGGACTTTAATGACTGGTGCCAGCAAATTGGAAAGGTTTGTGTTCCGGAATATCACTGTGTGGATAACCCAACACAAGCTTTGTTTTATTTCCCAAATGCTATACAGGTAGCACATCTTCTCTATCTTGTTTCTTTTTAAGAGTAGAGCAATAATATCTTAAAGCATGAGGAAAAAATATAGCTCTCACATTCTGCTGCTGATCGAAATCAAAGATTTGAAAAATGCTTTTTGAGGTGCACCGAAGTCCACCAGATAGGGTGACTGGAGACTAAAAGGAGATAGCAGAGTAGAGAGGTGTCTGTTCTCCCAGCTCTGCTCTTCCTCCACAGCTGTCCCTGGTTAGAGGAGCATTGCCGATGTTCGAGCTGGTGGAGCGCCAGCCATCACACTTCTCCAACCCTGATGTCCTGAATCTCACACCAGGTAAGGCACCCAGGGAGGCAGGTGGAACTGCAGCCTTGCGGCCTGTTCCCGCTTGGCCTAGAGTTTGATCTGGAGCATCTTAGGTCACTTGACTTAGTTCTTTGGCTTTGGACAGATCTCAGCATCTCAGGATTATTTTCAGGTTGAGCTGCCAAATGGTGACTGTGAAAAGCAAGTTCAAAAGCTGTTACAATAATAAGAACCTACAGTTTCCAAAGGAATCCTTAGAGAAATTGTGAAGGTCCACCGGAAAGGTTGAGAATCTTTGGGCTTCTCAGTACTGGAAACAGTCAAAGACAATGTTGGCCAAATTTAGCTTCTCCTTGCATGTGCTAAAACCACTACTTAGCCCTGATGATGCAAAAAGGAGCAAATGCTGGGCAGTATCTCTGTTGTCAGGTCCAGATTATTGTGTTAATAATGGCAGGAATGTTGCAGGAGATAGAGCCCCTCTCAGCTTCTGCTAGGAGGAGTGTGGATAAACTTCCCCCAAAGGGGCAAGTACCTTCTGAGAAAGAACAAGGGCTCATTCAACAGCTGGTTTCAGCTGAGGGCAAGTCATGCAATTACTTCTATTCTCTTCCCCAATAATTTGGATTAGAAGCAGCTATAGCAGAAGCAGCCACTACACCTCGGGGAGGTGATGCGCTCTCTCATTTTTCATCTCTTGCAGATTCTTCTGATGCTGACAGATTGGAAAGGTTCTTTGACTCGGAAGATGAAGACTTTGAAATCTTATCCCTTTGAGAGCAAACAGGACCCTGACTCTGCAAATCTGTGTGACAGGCGTGGGGAGATGGGGTGGGGGGGAAGCTCCATGGAGAGCTCGGGGCTACCAGTTTCCACAGGCGCCTGCTGCCATTCCTGCCCTCTTGCCCATCCTGGCATGCTGCGCAGCCTCTGGATGGAGCATGTGCTGTCCATGTCAGGATGAAGAACCTGACAGGTGTTAGAGCCTTACTGGCTTGGAGTCAGGGTTTCTCAGTGCTTGCTGGAAGTGGATGCAGTGGTGCCTAGGAGTTCAAAGCCTATGTGTTACAAAAGCAGGTCAGCTGGGCTTCTGGAGGGGCAGCAGAAACCCTTAGAAAGCTAAATCCTTCCCTGGGGACTCCCCTGTGAAGCTTAAATAGAGCTACCCCTCATTTAGCAGGTGAAGTGTACAGTTACTTCCTGTAGCGGCTTCTCTCCTTAACAGCCAGCTTGGATTGCACCTAATGATGCAAATTAACAGTAGACCCACACCACAGGCAGCCACCTCTGAAGCCCTTGGAGCAGGGATGACCATGTTTCCTACAGTAAATTCCTGGTTGTGCTTTGCAAAGGTGTGATACTCCTTTCCCAYTCCTATCCTATCAAAACCCTGGGCTAATTCATGAGTTAAGTGGCAATTCACTTCGTGGAAGGCTATCTAGGAAAGTGTAGAACAGATTTATCCAATTGGATGAGGAACATCATAAACTCTGTTTAAATAACAGCAGGAAAACAAAGTGGAGAAAGCAGAAAGCGTGTGCTCTTGCTGAGAGTCCATGAAATCTTACGGTTCTGTGACATATTGATGTCTACAGAAAGTATCTTCATGGAAGTTGCTTTAAGCAGAGAACTATATTCCGTAGCCAGGGAAAATAAAAATAGTCAGCAGAAGAGAGAGGACAGAACAGGACAGCTAAGAATCTAACAGTCATGGGACTGCTTTGCCTGTGCCCCAGTGTGCTGTCACAAAGGCTAGTGAATTAATCCTGCTGGTAGCAAAAATAGGGATTATAAATTTCTCAAACTATCCTCTGTGGTAGGCTCAACACTTCCTCTCCTTCTTCCTTTCAAGAGAAAAGGGCCTGAAGGTTGAATAGGTCYCCAAGCTGTGTTCATATACTTTAATTTGCTCTTCTGGAGACTTAGCCTCCCCACAGTGTGTGTCCAAATGTACTTCAGGAACTAACCTGGAGAAATTCCTTCCAAGAGAACAGCCCTATGAGGTCAGCAAAGGCAGAAGGCCATGAAAAGGTCCAACGTGCTTATACTGGAAATTTGAGCTACCTTTAAGATGTCTTGTAGTCTGCTTGGATCCTCATCTGCACAAWCAGAATTCAGATAAAGATTAATTGTGGAGACAGGTCATCTTAATGTGAACTGAACAGAGTGGCTGGAGTAGTTTCCTTAGGCTGCAACGTGCACTGTGTTCTGTTTACAAAGCTTTGCTTTGTACATCTAGGATCAGAACCTGACAGTTGATGCTTTTGTGCCCAAAGGTGGTGGCAGTGGGCTAGAAATGACTTCTTTCTCTGTGACTGACCTGCTGATGCTCTTAACTGTCCCCATGCCATCCAACTAGCAAAGGTTTGAACTTGAAACTGCAATGCTTCTGTCACTAAATTATTACTTGCTGCTTGGACTGCTTCTCTCCTCTCTAGGAGCGAGGGGAGGAGGCAGCAGAGGAGGTGGGGCTGTGCTCCATTCATCTGCTTTCACTTTGTATCTGAATAAACAAATCTAAAATCTTTTGTCTTTCCTGCTGTTCTTGCACACTGATCAAAGCTGGTGGAGTGGGGTTACCAAGTAGCTGATGACACTGCATCTTCACCTCCCATAAATCCTCCTAGGAGAAGGTTCATGTTCAAAAATGCACTTTTGCTTCTGTTAAAAGAATTTATTGCTCCATTTAAAAGAATAATGTATTAGCAAGTCCTCTAAAAACTCATTTTGACACAGCTGTTACATTACAGCAAAGAGGCAGATGCATAAGTTGCTGCTACTCCTGTGGCTGCTACCCACTTCCCAAGAGAGATTTGGGCTCAGTAACCCTTATCTGCACTACAGCACTGAGCACTGCAAAGAACAGAACAAGAGATTGAGGTGAAGAAAAAGAAAAAGAATGTGCTGCTTTACAAATACAGAAGGGACAAGGCAGAATGGAGTGGAGAACCCAATACAACCACAAGCACCATAAGGGACATGGAAGACAAGTGACCTGTGTTGTAGTTACTGGGTGCTGTTGTAGGGGAGTCATCCTACCACACAACATCCAGGAGGTGAGTTTTCCCTTCAGCATCCTTTTCCCTTCGAGCTTTATTTCCAGAGTTCTCCCAGGGGTTTATTCTGAACGTCCTGTATGGTTTTCTCTGCAACAGACTTAATTTCTCTGTGCAAGTCGTCTACGCTCTTTGAAGCATCTACTGTCTGTTTCCAAAACAAAATGAACATCTTAGAAACACATTCCTTATTTCCAGCACTAAATGAGAAACAGAGGGGAGAAAAAACAATCCAATTTTATTTCTGCTCCATGCTTTATTTAGCACCATTACTCTCCATAAGCTAATTATACCTCTTGTGCACTGTTTGTGCTGTAGAACTGGAAAACCTATTTTATTTAGCCATAGGCATTTAACAAGTCAGTCTGGGACCAAATGAAGGGAAACAAAAGAAACTGCTGCTACTGCATGTAGTTTTCTGGCAGCCTTTTRAGTTCTGTAACCTAAACACAGACAAATGCTCTAACTAGGACTGGAGTCCTAGTGAAAAATCACACATTTGCCTTAGGTGATATGATCATTTGGCAAGTCTATGTCCATACCTAGCCTTCCGTGACTAGTATTTTAGCTGTAATCTGGGGCAGAACCCCCACTTCCATGTCTGCATGAAAGCAGAAAGCAGCATGGAAGAAAACTTAACATATTTGTAGAGGTTTTTGGTGTATTTAGCAAGCAACTGCTGATGGAAGTTGGCCACGTGAGTGGTTGTCACTAAGGGAGCACCAAATTGCAGGTGGCCCTCAAAACCTCTCAAGTTTCTAGAATCCCTGGCAGAGGCTCTAGGATCCCAAGGAAACAGTGGCAGGGAAGAGCAGATGCATTCCTCACTGCTTTCTATCTAGATTTGTTCTCCCCGAAACAGGGCACAACTAAGACCTCCTCACCTTCCAGTTTAATGTCTTGTCCTTCATCAGATGGTGGAAGGACTGCAGAACTTTCTTTTGGAAGGAGCTGTTCTCATAGCGTTCATTCCCAAAGTTCCCTCGTACCGCTGCTTCCTCCGGACTTAACTCAAGAAACAGAATCAAATCTGGCTTTGGGAGTCCAACATCAGGCTGTTTACACCACTCCAGGCAGAAATTCTGTCCCAGGCAAAGAGAACTAAGTTTGAGGTTAAAGAAATAAAGAGTAATGAAGAAAAGAAGCAAGACAGTGAGAATGCAAGGTCAGGGGAGGAACAACCAGAAGAGACACAGACAAAATCACTCAGAGACCTACAAAGTCACAAACTTGGATATTTCCTTTTCGTCAGGGATTTTAGTCCTAAAAGATTTTGGGGGGATAGTTTTTTCTAGGTACTCTGAAATGTTTTTATTCACTGAGATGAGGGGGCACTAATGACATTAACACCTCTGCTACACAGACCCTTAACCCTTAAATACTTATTAACATTTTTAGGTTTCCATGAAGCTGTTACAAAGCCAAAATTAAATCAGTCCAAAAGAAAGTTGCTGCCACACAGAAATATCCTGCAGTTTTATCCAGGACTATAGATCTCCTGGGGCCCTCCTTTATAAATACCTAGCCTGCACTTTCAAAGCCTGCCCATGTTTTTTAGGCCGGGTGCTAAGGACAAAGCTTTACCATTTTTCAACAAGATCCCAAAGTTAAAACTTCCCCTGAAACATGCAGATCTGAAACRCTGCAGTCTCGTCTCACTCTGTGACACCCGCTGCTGCTCCTCCATGCAAGCAGCAGGCAAATATCACCCATCTTCCAGGAGGATCCAGGGAATAACAAAGTGGTCAGCCTGACATCAGCTCCTGGGAAGGTTTTAGAGCAAATTCTTCAACAAAGCTGTGTCCGAGCACATGAGGTCCAAGCAGACAAGGGACATGAAGAGGACTGGGAGCAACCAACAAGGATTTATCACAGGCAACTTCTGACAACAAAATAACTGTATGCTTTGACTTGAGCAAGACAGGAACTGGGTAAGCGGACACTAAAAAATAAATGAACAAACAAACCACAGGACTGCTGGACTCAAGGCACGGTGGTCAGCAGTACCAAGTCCAACTGTTACTACTGGTGTCCACCAAGCAGCAGCATCTTTATTAATGACCTGAATGCTGAACACCAGAGTAAGCTCAGAGAGGCCACGGAGGTGCTCAGGGGACRGACCCCAGGGAGAGGCCAAGGAAGCTGCTTTTGTTCAACATGGAGAAGAGGAAGCTCATGGGGATCTTACTACTAATACAASCCAAAAAGAGGCCATGGAGAACATCTGCCTTCTGCCTTGTCTCAGGCACGAGCAGGAACAGGACGAGAAGCAACAGACCCCTATGAGTATATGAGTTTGTTTTTGTTTTTTTTTAAACAGGGATGGTAAGCAAAAACTGGACAAAGGGCTCAAAGAGGTTGGGCACCTCCATCTTTGGAGATATTAAGGCCTTGGCTAGATGTGCCCCTGAGCAGCTTGTTCCAAGTCGGACTTCCTCAGGGCAGRAGGTTGGACTAGATGACCTCTTAAAATCCTTTCTGACACATGTCACTCAATGACTCTGTATCCTATTTGCCAGAGCAAGGGAGGTTGGTGAACGTCTGCTGAATCTTTCCCCAGAGCCCAAACACCCCCACTTCTTAACAGCCAGGGGCCTATCCCAATTTGGAATACATCATTTATCTAACTTAGGGTTTTTCTCTACTCTTTCTTCGGAAGGAGGTGGACACAGGCAAACAGGCTACGGTTGCACCTCCCCTGAACCTTCCCCCTCTCAGGTCCAGCRCACAGGAAGAGCCTGGGTCATGCAAGCCAGCTCTCACATGAGGCCTCAAACCAGAGCTCCATTTCCCTAAATGGGGTTCCCTGCTGGATTTCTCACTCACCTGCTTGGCACTTGTGAAGGCCACTCCGGAAAAGGCGTATCTGTCCACAACCAGCGTGATCCCTTGGTGTAATTTGTCTTTCATGAGTGGCCTGAGAAACACAAGTGAGGAAGGAAGGAAAAAAAAAAGAGAGAGTTAAACTCCCTTGCAGATAAATGGAGTTAATCATTTTTAACTTCATCAAAACCATTAACCTTGTTAGCTTACACAAAAATCCATTCAACAGCTACTAAGATGGGATCTCAAGATGGGATCCAGAAGGGAATAGCTGGGGCCTCCTCCTTACGCAGCACACAGGYGACACGCTGCCTCCATCCGAGAGGTGTCCTCTACCTCCCACAAGGGAATTTACCACAATTCACTTGCCTGCCTGATATCTTCCCAGTTCGCTTAGCACAGGCACTACAGGAAGATCAGCAAAGCTTTTTCAAAGGCGAAAAATGAAAGAGAAATAAAAACACTTGGCAGAGTAACCTTCTCAGTCCAAAGCACAGCCGTCACGAACTGCACGTACGAGAGCTCGTTTTGGCTGCGGTTCCCCTGCGTGCCAAGAGCACCCCCGTGTTGGGGCGGCGGTACCTGGCAAGGAAGGCCGTGCTCGGCCGCAGCGCCGCCRCCGTTTGCCCCCTCGTCCCGGGCACCAGCGGCGGCTGCCAGCCCCGCGCGGGCAGTGGCGCCGCACGCTTGCAGGCGTCGTGTTCTCCAGGCAACAGCACTGAAGGGAGCTGGGTGACCAGGGGCACAGCGGGTGAAGACAAGGGGTGGGCTGAGGGCCTAGGCTGCTCCTCGGCTGCAACAAGGGCACGTTCCAAAGAGGAACCACAGGACTGGAGTGGAGAAGAGCATCAGGGGAGCCGTATTAGTGACCAAGGGCCATCAAGGCCCTYAGTTGGGCCCCTTGGGGTCGGACTAAATGATCTCCGAGGTCCCTTCCACCCTTAAGCGTTCTGTGAGYCTGTGATTCCATGAAGGCCGGGGGACACTCAAACACCAGGAAAGGCGCTGGGCTCCTAGCCCGCCCGCGCTGCTCCCGCGCYGCCCTTACACGTGCTCCCAGCGGTTGGCCGAGAAGAGCAGGTGCACGGTGTGGTCCTCCAGGCTCTTCTCCTTGCCCAGGTAGGCGCCGAGCAGCCGCCCGATCTCGGTGCTCCTCTCTGCAAGGGAAGGGGGCGGGAAGGAGCCGCCGCCATCGCTGGGAGGGCGCGGGAAGGCCCCGCCGCAGGGCGCCCGTACCTGGGAAGCAGAGGAGCTCGGCGCGGTGGCCGGCGGCCCGCAGCGCCTCCACGAGCCGCCGGCCCTGCGTGCTCTTGCCGGCGCGATCGACGCCCTCCAGCGCGATGAAGGCGCCGCGCCGCGCCGCCATGCCGCCCGCCCGCCACAGCGCCTTCCCGCCCAGCCGCGCCCGCCCCGCCCCTTCCGCCGCCACGGGCCAATCCGCGGGCGGGCGGCGCTCCAGGCGGCGCGGGGACGCGGAGGCGGCGCCACGCCCCCTCCCGCTCGGCCGGACGCGGCCGTGGCTCCGCCCACCCGCCTCATGCATATGCACGAGGTGCTCCCCCGGCGGCCAATCGCCACCGGGTGGTCATGAATATGGAACGAGGCGGCGGCGCTGGCGGCGAGGGCGCTCGAGRCGGGCGGGCGCGGCGGCGGCGGGGTGCAAGATGGCGACCGCCATGTACCTGGAGCACTACCTAGACAGTGAGCGCGGGGGCAGCGCCGCGGGGAGCGGCGGCGGGAGCGGCGGGAGGGGCGGCGGG